TCTTTCCAAAATTTTTTTCAGGCTTTAGGCATGCCAATCGGCAATGCCTTTCATAAAGTTATTGTCCTAAGTAAATGTTTCATTTTGGGATAGTTACTTACCCTCTTTCTATACACTGCCCTCTGGTACTTCTTAGACCAATAAACAAGTGGTCTAGAATAAAACTGACATTCAGCCCCTTAGATTCCTAGCCAAATACATCTTAACATCTCCTCATCTTGAACAGAAGAAAAATAGCTTTAATAGCTTCTAAATCGCTTAAATAGCTTTTAAATAGCTTTTAACAATACCCAATGCCATCAGAGCAACAATTCTCCTACTGCCAAGCCGCCCAAGAAGGTAATGTATAAATGAGAACATAATATACTTGCCAAATGGAGTTAAATCTTGAGACTATTGAAATATTGGTATTTACAAGCAGCAGTTAATTTTTACATTTAGCTTTGCACCATTATTCCCGTAGTTTATGTAATCCAATCATCTAAGACTCAGTTTCCTGAGATGGAAAATAAGAAGGCAGAACTGAAGTTCCTTTCATATTTGAAATGCTAGCAGTTAAAAATGATAAAGAAGGAACAGATGATACATCTAGGAGTAAATGAGACCAAAGAATTCAACAACTGAGAAAGATCACCAGCTACTAATCTGCTCCTCTCCCATCAGAAAATGCCGATTGATGCACTCCAATGGCTCATACCAAGCTCCTAGTCACCTCACATTCAATGAAAAGGTCCCAAAGAGAAACAAACCACCATGCCTGCCGCACAGGAAAATCTCACACATACTAATCCACCTCATTCATCATAATCAGAAATATAATGGACAAAAAAAAAAAAAACACTGGACATTTGAAGAAAATCATGTTAGTGAAAGACTAAGATGAACAAACACAATTCATGATACTGAAGGAAGCAATGCTAATTCAGGGAGATCTTTAACAAATTTTAGTTTAATGACCTTAAAGAAATTAGACATTATATTTACAAAAGCATAAAAATTTTTAAAGGGTATCATATAAAAGAAGCAATTCATTTAAACAAAGAATTATTTTCTCCCTCTCTTCCACCTCCTCTGCTTCCCCCAAAATAATTTTTCCGCCTAGTTTTGAATACTTGGTAAATATGTCTTAAATCCCTACTGGATATCAATCTCTAGGGATGTTTTCCTACACATCATTTTTTACCTCATCTTCAATCTCCAACACCAGCAAACAGCAAAAATTTAAGCTATAATGGAAAGTATTCAATTAATGATAATTAAATCACTTTTTAAATTTTTTTTTCAACATTTATTTATTTTTGGGACAGAGAGAGACAGAGCATGAATGGGGGAGGGGCAGAGAGAGAGAGGGAGACACAGAATCGGAAACAGGCTCCAGGCTCTGAGCCATCAGCCCAGAGCCCAACACAGGGCTCGAACTCCCGGACCGCGAGATCGTGACCTGGCTGAAGTCGGACGCTTAACCGACTGCGCCACCCAGGCGCCCCTAAATCACTTTTTAAAAATGTTTAGAACCAAAAAGGACACATTCAGATTAAGACCACCTAGTACCAGACAGAATAGATGAGGAGAAAAAAAACAAAACAAAAGCAAAGGGGCACCTGGATGGCTCAGTCAGTTAAGCATCTGGACTCTTGATTTTGGCTGGCTCCTCAGTTCCAGCCCAGCATGGGGCTCTGCTCTGTGCTTTACAGAACCTGCTTGGGATTTTCTCTGTCCCTCTCACTGCCCCTCCCCTGCTCACATATTCATTCTCAAATGTCTCTCTCTCTGTCTCTCTTTCTCTCTCTCTCTCAAATACAAGTTGTTTTCTTGTTTTGTTTTGTTTTTTAAAACAGAGATATTGGGGCACCTGTGTGGCTCAGTTGGTTGAGTGTCCCACTTTGCCTCTGGTCAGGATCTCGCAATTTCATGAGTTCCAGGCCCAGAAACCAGCTCACTGCTGTCGGCCTATCAGTGCAGAGCCTGCTTAGGATCCTGTCCCCGCCACCTCCCCCCCCCCCGCCCTTCCCCCACTTGCGCTCTCCCAAGAACAAACAAATACATACAAAAACCAAAAATACGGCAGGAAATATTCCGGTAAAATTTCATAATTAAAAGTACAAAACTTTTTGGGGCACCTGAATGGCTCAGTAGGTTAAGGGTCCAACTACGGCTCAGGTCATGATCACGCATTTTGTGAGTTCAAGCTCGGCTTGGGGCTCTGTGCTGAGGGTTTGGAGCCTGGAGCCTGCTTCAGATTCTGTGTCTCATCCTCTCTGTACCCCTCCCATGCTCATGCTCTCTCAGCAATAAATAAACGTTAAAAAAAATTTAAGTACAAAACTTTGTAAATAATTTACTGACCTTACCAGATATCCCACTAACAACATTCAAAATGATAAGTAAAATCAATTTTGTCACTAGAATTCTATACCAGGGAAATTATGAAGTATACATGAGAGGGCATTTTCAGGCATGCAAAATAATCCTAAAATTCCCAGTAATGATAAATTGCTCAAAGAGATGCTTCAGAATAAAGAACAAGAATTCAAGACTGGGCATGACATGAGACACAAGAGTCAGCAGCAATATGACACTGAATAAATGTAGAAAGTTTCTTTCTTTGGAATTCTTTTTTCTTGTCAACAGATCCTGTTAGAACAATACTTAAAATATTATTTTGAAGAAAAAACTAATAGCACAGGAATTCATTTTCTTACATGTGTACCTAGTTGTTCGTATTAGAGTGAATAGTATTTATATAATCATACCATTATAAATGATGTATTGGGAGTTTTCTGTTTTTACAATCTACCTATTGACAAAGGACAGGATAATTACATTACAGAACAGAATGCAATGTCTTCAACTCTGACCATGTGAAAGCAATAATGTAACAAAAACCAGAATGGGAAGCGGAAAAAGTGGCAAAAGAAATATGCTAATTTCCTTATATTTTAGAACAGAAGTCAATACAGACTGTCTAAATTTGATAATTCAAGAAACAGATTTATGAAAGATCATGTAAACAACCACAAAACCCTAAAAGTAAAAACATAATTATCAAAAATCATGCAGTGAGGAGGAATACAAGACATAATATGAAGGTACCAAATATCTCATACTTAATGATGAGTCAATAGATATGATCAAAGTTAATCAATATAGGTACAGGTATAACATTAAATCAATTATAAGTCACTAGAAGAACCAAATTCAGAAATTCTTCATCTTTTTAAAAATTTTTTTAACGTTTTCATTTTTATTTTTTAAAAAGAGAGAACATGCACCTGTGTCGGGGAGGGGCATAGAGAGAGGGGGGACAGGATCGGAAGCAGGCTCTGGGCTGACAGCAGTGAGCTACAGAGAGCTCAAAGTGGGACTCGAATTCAGGAACCATGAGATCATGACCTGAGCACAAGTCTGATGCTTAACAAACTGCTGAGCCCCCAGACACCCCTCAAATTCAGAAATTCTTAATGGTTGCCACTGAGCACCTGGGAAGAGGAATTATGAATGCGAGAGTAAGGAGTGAGACTGTTATTATTTATACACTTTTATACCATTTGATATTTCTTTAACACACCTTATTCCATATTTTTAAATGAATACCTATGATAGGGGAATAAATTTAAAATGATAAATATTAATAGCTTATATTGGTGAATTACTTTATAAAAATATACTTACACAAATTGTCTTATTTATGCTTAGCAATTCTTAAGAAAGTAAGATTTTGATCACCAATTCCCTGTGGGTCGTTTGGGGGGGGGGGGCGGGTCCCACACCACCAAGCAACTGTCTAACATTAGCTGGTTGTGCTACAAATCAACTCAATTCTGACACTATCTACAAACAGATAACATCAGATCCCTCAGGTCGAGGGCTCTAACCTACAAGACTTCCTCCCCCGCCAACCCAACTTTAACAGCCAATTACAAATCCAAATTATCACTTCTGCTTCTGTCCAACCAGCTACAGACTAGAGGCTCCAACCCTTCTTGGGTTTGGTTAATTTGCTAGAGTGGCACACAGAAATCAGGAAACCAGTTTATTCACCAGATCATCAGTTTACTACAAAGAATACCAAAGGATATGAATCAACAGCTAGATGAAGAGATACACAGGGTGAGGTCCAAAACAAGGAAGCTTCTGTCCTCATCGAGTTTGGGGACCAGAGTGTTGTTACCTGTGCTCTGGTTCACTAATCTGGAAGCTCTGCCCTTTTGGGTTTTCATAAAGGCTTCATTACATAAGCATGATTAAATCATGACCTTTGGTGGTTGGTTCCACCTCCAGTCCCTCATCCCTTCCCTGAAATCAGGAAATGGGAGTGGAAGTTCGAACTTCCTTTCATTTGGTTCCCTTGGCAACCAGCTCCCACCCTTAGGTGCTTTCCTAGTCACTAATTAACATAAGAAAAGACATCTTTATTGCTCTCCCCGGGAAATTCCAAGGGTTTTAGAAGCTCTGTGCCAGAAACAGGGACAAAGACACACAGCGACAAACAGAAAGATTCTACTATTCTTGTGTACAACTGAAGAAGGAAAAAAACAGTTAAAAAATGTTAGCGAAAACATGAAGAAATTAGAACACTTGTGCACTACTGATGGGAACGTAAAATGATGCAGCTTCTGTAAGAGAATCTGGGTCTATATCCAAAGGAGCTGAAATCAGAATCTCAAAGAGATAACTGCACTCTCCTATTCACTGCATCTTCATTCACAACAGTCAAGGCATGGAAACATCCCAAGTGTCCATCAACAGATGAATGGATAAGGAAAATGTAAGATATATGTACAATGGAATATCATTCACCCTTAAGAGAGAAGGAAAGCCTGCTATACACAACAACATGGATGAATCTGCTACAGGGAATCTGTGAGGACATTATGCGAAGTGAAGTAAGTCAAATACAGAAGAACAAGTACTGCATGATTCCACTTATATGAGGATTCAAAAATAGTCAAGTTCATAGAAACAGAGTAGGATGGTGGTTACCAAGAGCTGAGGGGAGGGGGAAACAGGGAGTTTGTTGCTGTTCAAAGGATATAAAGTTTCAGTTATGTAAGATGAATAAATTGTAGAGATCTGCTGTACAACACTGTGCCTACTGTTAACATCACTATATCTTCCACTTAAAAATGTGTTAAGAGGGTAAATCTCATCTTGTGTTCTTAACACCAGTTTAAAGAAAATGAAAGAATTAAGGACATATGGAAACAAAAAAGATTCGAGGGGGAAAAAATAGGCAGCTAATTGACAATGCAGAGGCACAAACTCAGGTCCCCTGTTGTCAGTTTCTGTTGTTGTTTGCAATTTTTCTGGAAAAAAAAGCACCCTTTAAAGTTTTATTGTGTTTGTTATTTTGTTTCAAGTTCATAACATAATTTGTAATAACTCTATCTTAAGCGATTCTCCGAGAACCAGTTTTAGAGACAAGATTCGAGTAGAAGCAGTTTCTTAGGGAAAAGATTACAGAAAACAGCAATACTGAACAGCAGTGCTGAGAAAGGGAAAAGAAGGAAATAAAAGGTATGCTATCAAGCAAGTTACAATTGCAGAAACCTGGAGTGGACTTTTGGGGGCACCCAGGATAGAGCAAGAAATACACACCTCAGAGTTACTCCACCAACTGGTAAAGAAGCTTGACTACTTCTCTACTAAATGCTCTTGATGAGGGGACATTAGGTTGGGGATGTTTATTACTTGGCTTTTCCCGCCAGCCTTGCAAATAGGACAGGCTTCAGTGGCTCCAAACGAAGCTGGGCCTGAAGTACAGATGTGGTATTGCGAAGGACATAGGGGCAGATATCTGCTACAAACTCCCAACTGAACTGTAACATTCCTTGTCAGCAGAATCCAGATCTCGCTCTTTATCTCTACCACCGAGCACGGGACCAATAGTGAATAAACACGGCATAATTCACTGGATTAAGAAAACCCAAGCATTCTGAACTCATCACTGGCTTGACGGACTTCTTTTACCAAAAGTAGAAAAGCTTTGTATATAGCCTGTCACCAATGCAAAGATTTTCCTTATGGCATGGATTCCTAGACGCTGTTTTAGAACAAGCACTGGTCTAGAAATAAGTTTTTACCAATCTGTGCTAAAATAAGAAAAAAAAATAGTAATTTCAAAATTTTGTGAAACTTATACACGTTGGATTAAAGAATGTGATGAGAATTTAACTCCATCCTGTATTTTTGGTATTTTCTTATGAAATTACAGTCAGAGTAAATGATATTCTCTTTTTCCCTTTCAATGCCTATATGCTCCTCTTATTTTCCTTTAATATCCCGGGGCAAAATTTTTCTAAGTGTGATCACACATTGTGTAAATCAATTTTTAATTAAAATCACACTACTTTATAATATAAAAAAATCTAGAAACCACTGATATATAGACTATTCCTTAATAAGATTTTGTGAACTCATATTACCTTATGAGTTCTTTTCCAAGACTAAAATACCTTTAAAATCATTGATGTGATTTCTTAAGGTAAATATGGTTGTCAGCACCTTTAAAAATAATATAAAATTTGTTTACTCATAAAGGAACAAAAAATTGAACATTTGCTTAGCTATTTTAAAATTACATAACTAAAACTTATAAGTTTATTTATTTTGAAAAAGAAAGGGAGAGAGAGAGAAAGAGAGACAGTCATGAGCAGGGGATGGACAGAGAGAGGGAGAGAGAGAGAATCCTAAGCAGGTGCCACAATGTCAGCACAAGCCCAACTCGGGGCTTGGACTCAGGAACCATGAGATCATGACTGAGCAGAAATGAGAGTTGGATGCTTAACCGACTGGGCCACCTAGGCATCCCATGGGTAAAAATTTATGTTGAGTTTAATTTTGTGATTATCTTTACTTCTATAGTATGCAAATAAAGTGTTTCATTTTAAACATGATACATAGGAATTTGTTGAAATGATTTACAAAGTAAGATATGTACATTTATTTGAAGAAAAATAATTATAGTCTTATTTAAAATCCTGGTATATGCAAGATTAAAATGGTCATATTTTCTAAGTATAAGAAGATATTCAATGACTGTGAATATGTTTCTGAGATCATATCCTCCTCAACTCTTTTTTTTTTTTTAACATTTATTTATTTTTGAGACAGAGAGAGACAAGAGCATGAACGGGGGAGGGTCAGAGAGAGAAGGAGACATAGAATCTGAAACGGGCTCCAGGCGCTGAGCTGTCAGCACAGAGCCCGACGCGGGGCTTGAACTCACAGACCGCGAGATCATGACCTGAGCTGAAGTCAGCCGCTTAACCAACTGAGCCACCCAGATGCCCCCCTCCTTAACTCTTTAAAACAAGAACTCTTTGTAGGCAAAAATATGGTTTTGTCCAATTTCATTGATCTTCCTATATATAAAGTTGAATTCCTGTCCAGTTCCTTTTTACGTATGGAATGTTGCATATGATGTAAATAATATAGTTGAAAGACTTGGAAAAATGGCTAGCAACAATCCACAATATTTGGGAATCTGGCAGAGCTCTCCCAAAGTGATGGAGCCAGAGCCATCTGGAGACATAGGTAGATCACACTGTGAGGCTTTAGCCAAACATATGCAGGCAGAAACAGGTTAAAGTGAACACACATACACAAACTTTGAAGGAATAAGAAAGTTGAGGCACCTGGGTGCTCAGTTGGTTGAGCATCTGACTTTGGCTCAGGTCATGATCTCATGGTTCATGGGTTCAAGCCTCATGTCAGGCTCTGTGCTGACAGCTTAGAGTCTGGAGCCTGGTTTGGATTCTGTGTCTCCTTCTCTCTCTGCCCCTCCCCTGCTTGTGCATGCACTCTCTCCCTCTCTCTCTTTCTCTCTCTCATAAATGAATAAACATAAAAAACAAATCACTGCATGGGGCGCCTGGGTGGCGCAGTCGGTTAAGCGTCCGACTTCAGCCAGGTCACGATCTCGCGGTCAGTGAGTTCGAGCCCCGCGTCAGGCTCTGGGCTGATGGCTCAGAGCCTGGAGCCTGTTTCTGATTCTGTGTCTCCCTCTCTCTCTGCCCCTCCCCTGTTCATGCTCTGTCTCTCTCTGTCCCAAAAATAAATAAACGTTGAAAAAAAAATTAAAAAAAAAAAATCACTGCAGAGCAATTTATAGCCTGGGACTAGGTCTTACTGCTGCTCCAACAGCTGCTCCAACTTTATGTTTTTAAAGGGACATACTCAAAATCTCCTTTCCATTCATAGGTAATATTCTTGATTCACAACTTAGCACGTTCCAGGTTTTCTTGTTTTTTAGCAGCTCTGTTTTGGAACTTACTTTATTCAATTTCTTCTATGTCTCTATAAGTTAAGTCTTCATGAAGCAGTGAGCCAAGACCCTTCCTTTCTCAGGAAGAATATTAAGAGCGTATCATCACATGGCATCACCTCTATTTATATTTCTCAGATACGTGGCACTCCTTTTCCTCATAATCAGCTGAATATGTCAGAGGCTGAGAAAAATGTCACTAAATCTTGTTTCTAAGCCACTTCCACATAATATTGTAAGTATTATGAATCCATTTATGGCCCTGCTTTTATGGTGGGGGGGGAGGTGCATAGAAATCACTATTACTATTAATCCCATACTAACTGGCAAAGTCACCTAAAAGGTTTCATTATATTCCTAACATATAACTTACTACCAAAGATTAAGAATTTAGAGCCCATTTAGTTTTGAAATAATGGATTTTAAACCACAAAAGGTACTTGAATAAATAGATATTTCTTATGAATATTCTAATAAGAAATTATGCTAATGGCAATTGCTAAAGCTAAAAATGGTTGAGAAGGAGACTAATTACTTATAATATGCCATGAGCAATGTGGGACAAAAATAGATGATTCTTCAATCTTTAATGTTCAGATATTTCATTGATATATTCTTGATGAGAAAGGAAACAAAGATTAACCTACAGGTTTAGAAAAATATTTCAAGAAGTAACAAAAATGTTTCAGTATATGCATAAATGTTATGGTTTTCTTTAACAAGTTTTATACAACCAATAGATGCTTTCATGAAAAATAATGACTTGGTTTTAAGTCACTAACCTTAAGAAACAGAGGATATCAAGATTTATTATAAAAGTAATATGTATGATATTGTTCCAAAGATAAAGCAATAGAACAAAAAAGAGGGCCCCAAAATACACTCACACACGTACAGGTTCTTGATGGCAAAGGTAATATTTTTAATTGAAAAAGCAATAGCAAAAAATTTCCTTTTCAAAATATGGTATTTGGACAATTGTATACCCACATGTAAAAGAATAAATAAAATTGATCCTTCTTTCAGACATGCTAAAAAGTTAATTCCAGATGGACTGTCATTCTAAATGAAATATAAAACATTAGGGGTGCCTGGGTGGCTCAGTTGGTTGAATGTCCGGCTTCGGCTCAGGTCATGGCTCGCCATTCATGGGTTCGAGCTCCACATCGGGCTCTGTGCTAACCAACAGCTCGGAGCCTGGAGGCTGCTTCAGATTCATTCGCATTCTCTCATTCTCTCCTCTCCCTTTCTCTCTCTCTCCCTCTCTCCCCCTCCCCTGCTCATGCTCTGCTTCTGTCTCTCAAAAATAAATAAATGTTAAACATTAAATGAGGCACCTGGGTGACTCAGCCAATTAAGCGTCCAACTTCGGCTCAGGTCAAGATCTCACATTTTGTGGGTTCAAGCTCCCCGTTGGGCTCTGTGCTCAGATTCTGTGTCTCCCTCTCTCTCTGCTTCCTCTCTTTCTCTCTCTCTCTCAAAAATAAATAAACATTAAAAAAATTTTTTAAGGAAAGAAAATATTGGCAATGGGATAACACTGTCCGAATTTCTGTTTATCTAAAAACACCATGAAGAAAGAGAAAATGCAGAACACAGAGTGGCAGAAAATATTAACAACAGATATGAATAGCAAAGTGCTTGTATATAATATATATATTAGAAAAAATGTATAATCCAATTAGGCAAAAAATCCAATAAAATGAGTAAAAAACTTGAACAGGCATTTCACAAAAGAAGATATTCAAATGGCCAATAATATAAAAATGTGATGTCCATCAAGGATATGCAAATTAAAATCACAGCTATGGACCATTATATATATACCAAAATGATTAAAATTTAAAACTCTCAAAATACTCAAGTGTTGGAACAGCTGAAATCAGCATTGTAATACAATGGAAAAGTGAGGAGAGAAGGAGGAAGGTGAATTCTCGAAACCACTATATAGAATTTTTTGGTAATATTGATTCTTATTTAACAAATATAAATCCTAGGGACCAAAGATTCTAATCCAAATTAAATATCCCAAATTGTATGCATGTGTTGCCAGTCACACACACACACACACACACACACACACACACACACACACACACACACACAAGAAATGTTCATAGCTTCATTATTTGTAATAGTCAAAAACCAGAAACAACCCACATATACTTCATTTGAAAAATAAATGAATAAATAAATTATAGCATTTCCATACAATGAAATACAATGAGTAAAAATAGGACATGGATGCATTTAATGATAAAGTTAATTTTTTTAAGCTCAAGCCTTTGACTTTTGCCTCCAGTCAAACTATAGCAACAGGAATGGTATTTACCATTCCACTTGAAGCAAAACAAATAAATAAAATCTAATTAAATATGTGAAACAATTTTCAAAGCACTACACTCAAGAACAGTAATCTCTGAAAGACAGAAAACAAATAAAGTGGGCCTTGCAATTGCCCCCAGCTTACTGACTAAAACAGGCTTCCAAGAAAAGGAAAACACCGCAGATGCCCTGAGCTGAAGAGACAAAGCTGAGAGTATGAAGGGATGCAAGATGGCTAGAATGTGCATCCAGAACACTAGAGAGGAGAGAAGGTGGAAAAACAAAAACACAGAGATCTGCAGCATAGCGCCCACTAGAGTATGCCACAGAGTATGGACTGATGCAAGTTTGTGAAAAAACTACCCAAGGCCAGGAAAAGAACCACCTCTAAAGATTAGAGTTCACAGTACCCAGAGGTCACAAAGGGCCAGGAACAGTGCCTGATCTAAGCAGTCAGAATGGAAAATCTCATAATTCATTAATTACTGTAGAGTTTTCAAAAAGGTCTTGCCTAATTAGTGGAGAATAATTATCCCTATGGTAAATACTATTTTTATCCTCCCTAAGAAGTCTTAGAAGTAAA